AAGTCAATATTGTAATAATGCTGAAAGGCAATTTGATCACGGCCCTCTGTTTATATCATTTATAATATTGAAGAACACTACTTAGTGTGTGCCCTGCATAAAGGTCCAGGAAAGACTCATAAAGATTGTTTTATCTTGTTGGCTTTAATTAATGCTTGTAGCTTTTGGTTTTTATAAATAGCACTGTGCCTGAGTTATTTATAAATAACGCGGAAATCTTGTTTAATCAGTAAACAGGCTAATAGCTTAATCAAAAAATTTGTGTGTGTGAAGGAGAAAGTGGGTAGTTGAGTTATTGATAGCTTAATCAGCATGTCAATACTTAGCTTTGCGAGAGGTGGCGTTTAATCCACTCACTAATTCACTGTTTATGATTTAAACAAACTACGATCGATCCCTGACACACACACACACACATGTTATTATCTTGCTTAACTACTCCAACTAGGTGAATTCTCTTGACAATTGTTTGGCAGGGATGATGGATTTACATGTGCATGGATATTTTCAACACTGCCATTATATTCATCGCCACACCAAATGGTATATGCTCATGTAATATTCTGCAGGCCATTAGGTGTTGGATTGTCTACCGTGTCTCAAAAATAAATCCCAAATATTTAGTATGATAGTCAAAATATAACCTAAATAAGCGAGAAATGCAGCGTTGATTTATCTTTCTTTGAAATTTGTCGTATCATATATGCCACCTTTTTACACATCATTTCTCGAAAATTCAGTGTTGATTATCCATATATGATATACCTCCTCCCGTCTAAAATAAAATCCATTTTTTCATTAATTTTGATACAAATAAAAATAATTCAATATTTATAGAATTTTTTATTTAATTTTACCAATTGTATTTATTAACCTGAATTCTTATATTCACTAAGAATTTATGATCTTCTTCATTCATCTTAAATTATGACTTAGAGTAAAAAATAATAATTTATATTTTTATGAAAAAATATTATTAATATACAAATTATTATTAACAATTGCTTTTATTTTAGATTACAGGTGGTAGTAATTTAGAATCTACGCACAAGTTCTTGGGAAATTACACAAATTAGTATTGTATAGCTTTGATCTTGTTTACAAGGCCCAATCACATGACATCTGGATCCAACGCTTGTTGTCAAATGTCAATTACTTTGACACGTCAAAAGTGGCGGACAAACTTTTCCAACAATCCTTTTGTATCCTAGGTGCTGGTATTGATGATCACTGGGACTTGATATGAGGTGTTTCAATTTGGAAACTCTAGAGATGGAGGAATTGCCATATGAAAGAATGATAAATAAGAAGTTTGTAAGAATATTAATATCAAATTAAAAACTTTAGTGCTGAAACATGATAGAAGGAGTATTGAAATTTAAAAATATCAGTTTTAAAGTCTTAAATTGACATTAATACTCTTACAAGATCCTTATTTATCACTTTTCCTTATCATATCTTCCAACCAGATTTTATAACACCCCACAACCCACATATTGTTATAGCTTATGAATGGAGATCCTTCACATCTCTAGGAAATATAGATGATGACAGGCTGCAACAGAGGTATTGGATGCAACTACCTTATAGTTGGGTGAAATTAAAGTTAACGTAGATAGAGCAATGTCTAATATTGATGGTTGACACTATCCAAAAAAAAAAGGAGCAAATTAATGACAGAATTTAGCAATGGCATACATTTTCATCACTAAATTACCACAATATGTTGAGACAGAATATTCTATAGCTAAAATTTTGTCACTATTTCATCACTAATCTGTCAGAAATAATTTACCAATGGAATTTACTGATGAAAAGTTTTGTTATTAATTTTTAGGATATCTTATTCTAATTTAGTGATGAAATTTGTGACAGAAAATTTCATCACAAAGCTTTCTATCATAATACCATCGTTAATTCAATAAGTAATTATTTTTAATTTAAGTTTATTATTTATAACATATATTTATATATAATTTATTATTATGCTATGAATAAATAATTTAAAATTATATTTTAAAATAATTTATTATTTTATATTGTTTGTATATTATTAATAATAATTTTAATTGTATGCTTAATTATTCTTATTTAAAAATAAAAATAAAAATAAAATAAAATAATAAATAAAATGTAAATTATTATATATTATATTGATACAAATTATAATATAATATAATATATAATGATAATAAAATATTTTTAAATTTACTATTAAATTTATTATCAAAAATGATTTTTTGAAATTAAAATATAATATAATAATTATTATATATAAATTAATTTTGCCACATTAATTTATACTATTAAAAAAATAAGTACATTTAAATACTATATTTAATAATAATTTAAATAATATATTTATTAATATATGTGCGTGGGGTTAAGTATTATATATATTGTTATGATGTTTGACCATATTGCTTCTTCATTCGCCTATTGCCGAGGCTGATGAGTGATCCAATTAGAAGAAGAAGAAGAAGAAGATTTCTCCCTTGCTCTGATCTATACTCTATTTAACTCGTTTGCAAAGTTAGTAATTATAGTTTTAAAATACCTATAAGGACCCTGCGCTGGTTCAATCCGTGTTTCTATGTTCTCATTACATATGGACTCAACACTAAATCACGTGACAATTTGAAAGGTAGCTGTCTAGATTTTACTAAACTGTGAAGTGTGAACTATATTAAATCCATGTCAAATAAATGCTTTTTTGAGAGCCAGCTCATTATCTGTATTTTTACTCCCTCTAGTCCACATAGGATATTTTCTAGAAAGTTTTTTTATCTTTAATAAAATTTATAAGAGGATTATTTAGTACTATTTTCTAATTCTACCAAAAGTAAAAACATATTTTTCATTTTAAAACATATTTATAAGTTAACTGCTATTTTTGCAAGTCTACTGAGTAATTAAAAATATTTTATAATAAAAATTGGATGCGTAGATTGGTGTGTATTGTTGTAATGAGTAGGGTCGGTTGAGAAAGGAAGAAGGGAGTGGGTGGGGAGGGCATGCTGTGTGAGGGAGAGAAGTGTATTTGGGATGGAACCATCAGAACTATGGCCGTATGAGTTCCAATCTGTTCACATCAAACTTGAAGTTTGGTTGAGTTTGCGGTTAAAATTCATTATCAATAAATAATTTATAACTCTATATGTGTACGTAGGTACTGGCACGTACGCAATTATATTAATTTGAGTTTGGCAGCATTAACAAGACAACAAATCAAACTTGAACCTAAATTTCAAAGATCAATTATGATATATTTATTCTCAAAATACAGCAACTTACTGTCAACGATATATTTGTGAAGCTTTTGACTTTAATTTATGCGCATATATTAAATTAATGTCTTAATGTGAGGTGATATCATATCAAGCACTACTTACCAGTAAACCCTGCCGGTATCAATAAAAGGTTAAATTCTGTGGACATACGACTTGTGAATGCAACGCAAGTTGATTAAACTTGACGCCCACCTGTATCTAGCTATATATAGCCACTATTGAACATTAAGATTTAACATCCAATTAAGGTGCATGCTTTATGGTAATTTATTTTATGAAGACACATGCATGTGATGTTATATATTTTCTTTATATCCTTAATGTCGCATATAAGTGGAATATCCCTGCCTATAACCTACCATCAAATCACATAACCAATATCATCATCAATATATAAATATAATATAAAAGCAGACTACATAGTATAAGTTATTAATGATATAGTTAATCTCATTCATGCGAAAGATGATGGCCGCGCATAGTCTGATCTAATACTTGAGGCAAATCTGTTGGCAATTGATGTGTTTAATTTTGTTCTGTGTTATTAACCTAGCTAGCTTGTCTTAAACTTGGCGTTTGGTTTATGTAATGAGCTAATATAACACAATAAAGCGAACTTATAATTTTGCCAATTACTCTTGTTGAGTTTGAGTTAATTTTGGTGGTGCTCGACATTTTGAATTATTTAATTAAGAATGAATTTGCTTTAATAAAAGACAAATGGTGGTGATTGTGTACGTATGAACCAAGTGCACTCTCGGGACAAGAACAAGTGCAGGCACACTGGTAGAGGAATCAAAGCTCCCACTATGATCTCTCCCTTAGTTTGATGCAGATTGGCTCTTATATATTGTTAACTAATTAAAGCATAGACTGCTTTTCACTTTTTTTTTTGGGTTTTAATCTTCTTTATCTAAATAAATTAACATTTTTTGGAATTTTTTTAATTCACATAAGTCAACAGAAGAAAGATTGAAGAACCATGTCAACAGAAGACAAGGATTCCGCTACGGAATAACTTTCTATTATTTTTAATATAAAATTTGCGTATTTATAAGTATACTTCTATAGAATTTTATGATTTATATGCTGCAATAAGTGGAATATTTTTTATAATTAACTTATATAAAAATAACTACTTTTAGTTTTCCTTGTCCATACGTACGTACGTGCAAATTATATATATATGTATGTATGCATGTATGTATGCATGTATGTATGTATGCATGTATGTAAATTGTGATCGTGATGGGGAAAGGGAGTTCTAATAGTATAAACATTTGTTTTATTATCCTTATAAAATTTTACATTTTATTTTCTTAATATTCATCTGAAATTTTAATATAAACCAATTAATAATTAATTATCTTAAATTAAATAAACATGAAACTAATACTGAATCAATCATGCTTGCAACCATTTTCATATAATAAGCAAAAGCAACCATTTGTTTTAGTGGCTTAGCCAAGTTATTAAAAAAGTACTTTGTTTTATTTTTTTTATTTGAAATTCAACTTCATGCATTATAAAGGAAGCTACGTTCATGTACGTCTGAAATGCGCACTCACCGGCAATAAGCGCAGTTGACATCTTATCAGCCGCCAGCGCACCATATGCCTTATTGTGATGTGATCGATGAACTATCCATTATAAATAAGGCCAATGTTGGGGTCTGTCTATGTTATGTATCACTTCCTTCCTCTGGTCCACTTCTATTACACAAACAACTCGATCGACCAGGAAGACAACAATGGCCTCTCAAGCTCCAGAAAATGCCAATAACTACAGTGCATCTCGTGGAATGCAATGGCTTAGGGCCTTGCCTGGTATATTGTGGGACATTGTTGCCAGATCTGGAAGGAGATCAGCCAAAATAGCAAAAGATGATCCTCGAAGAATCACTCATTCTCTGAAAGTAGGGTTGGCACTCACAGTGGTTTCCTCGTTCTTCTTCCTCCGACGTCTTTACTATAGTTTTGGTGACAACGCAATTTGGGCCGTCATGACAGTCGTTGTAGTCATGGAATTTTCTGTGGGTAAGTTAAGTTCTTTCTCAAATTACGTACTAGCTAGGACTATGTTTCATATATACTCATTAGACACGAATTAAGGCTTCCTTAATGAGGAAATATTCCATTATCATGATGATTCAGGCGCGACTCTGGGGAAGGGCCTCAATAGAATGTTGGCGACATTGCTAGGAGGTTTTCTTGGTGTTGGGGTTCAACAATTAGCAACTTTGTCAGGGGGCAAGGAGCAGCCAATCCTAATTGGACTATTCCTCTATATCATTGGTACATATTAATTTCAATTCAAAAGTTTACTAGTTAATTAATTATCATATTATTTATTATCATAAAGTTGATCATAAAATATACCCACACTATAAAGTAATTTTTAACTTATAAGAATGAGAGACAATGACGATGTCACAAATTATCATTTGATGTGTTTGTTGAGTTCATTAATATTGGTTTTTGATTGTTGTAGCGGCGCTTATAACGTTCATGAGATTTGTTCCAGAAGTAAAGGCGAGATATGATTATGGGTTGACAATTTTCATATTAACGTTCAGCCTTGTATCAGTAGCTGGATATCGAGATAATCAGATACTAAATCTCGCATTCAAGAGGCTTTTGACAATCATACTCGGCAGCTTTATAGCCATCATTATCTGTGTTTTCTTTTTCCCTGTTTGGAGCGGAGACGATCTTCACAATCTGCTCGCTACCAACTTGGAAAAACTCGGCAATTTCTTGGAAGGGTTTGGAAATCAGGACTTTGAAACCAAGAGTATGAGATCATTTGCTGAAGAATATGAAAGCGTTCTCACCTCTAAGACCAGAGAAGAAACCCTGGTAAATATTCCTCTCACTGATATGAGGAGTTCTTTAACAGAGGAAAGGTTGATTTTGCTTTTAAATTCCTAGACACATCAAATAGCACCTCAAAACCTAGCTAGCATGAGAACGCACGCGCACTAATATTACACACACACAGTCACTCACACATCAAACAGAACCTAAAACCCTAGCTATAACTAGCACTTACTCTTCCGGAAAATTAAAAAACTTACATATAATATATTATGCTAATTAATTTCAGTCAATCTCGCTCTTTAATTTTCTAGGCCAACTTTGCAAGATGGGAGCCTGGTCATGGCCAAATAAGATTCCGTCATCCATGGCGCAAATACTTGGAACTTGGAAACTTAACGCGACAATGTGCATATAAAGTAGAAGCTCTAGATGTTTATCTCTGGTCTTTGATCCAGGTAAGTTTATAGAAAATTGTTATTCAATCTCAAGAAATGCACCTGTATGTATACATTGATTCATGTCAACTTAATTACTGATCAATTATCTTGAGTTGTGTACGCAGACACGTAATGAAATTGGAATCAAAATAAAGGATTCATGCCAATCTGCCAGCTTAGAATGTGGAAAAGCATTGAAGATATTAGCTTCATCAGTTAAATCAATAACATGCTTACCATCAACAACAACGAAGGCTCGTATTGCCAAAGCAAAAGGTTCCATTGAATTGGTCCATTCACTTTTAAGATCAAAACCATATTGGGAAGGCGTAGAGCTCGTGGAGATAGTCCCAGCTGCTGCAGTTACTTCACTGCTCAGTGACATTGTGATATGCACAGAGAGAATCATCGAAGCTGTTGATGAACTTTCCTCCTCAGCACATTTCAAGAGTACTGTGCTTTCCGCAGCTGTGACGACTACTACTTCAAAGCCTCTTCCTCTAACTCGTGAGGGGATTGTGAAGCCTGCTTTGGAATCTCATGAATTACATTATCGCGCAATCACAATCAATAATGATGGTTATCCTTCAACTTTAACGAAAGAATGCGGAAGCTTTTCATCCATAAAAGCCATTAGGCAATGAATGATAGTGATGTAATGGACGACATATATAACAGTGTACTTTTATTTTTCAGGTGTATAATACATCGATTTTTTCATTGTAGTTTTATTTCTAACTATCCCCATGTAGATGTCATATATATTTTGGAGTAAAGTTTGATTCTGTCCCGAGTTTTTCAGGCTCTCAATTATATGACGTGGTTTCCCAATATATGATTTTGTAAATATGTCCTTGTCCGTGCACGCTCAAGATCTTTGAACTAGTGTGTTCTAGAAAAAATATTGATTAATGAAGTTTTCAATTATCATCGTAAATTGTTTAGGAACGCACTTTAGGAAGCAGCTTGTAATTTTTTAGGCATAACCCTACCCTACCCCCCAATTAATGCTTAGTTAATGAACCAAATAACACACACACACACACATTATAATATGATATGTGTAGTAACTTTATACATTAATTCATGCTCGATCGGCACAATTGTATCAAATGGACTATTTTTAATGTAAGTTTGCTAATGTTATGAAACCGAGGAAATTAATGTATTTTTTAGATATAAAACCTGGTATATGAATCCGTATGTTACATGAAGTCTGATAAATATGCTATACTATTCTTTTTTCATCAATAATACGAGCTTTTATATTATATAGAATAACTTATATTAGTATATGTACAATTATGTTAATGTGGCTGACAAGGGCAGGATCTTAGGATGGTCCATGAAATCATTAGCTTACGCACTGAAGTTTACACCGTTCAGGTCCAAAATTTTGCCACTATATACTAGTGCTTTTGGATATAGAAGGAAAAGCATCCTGTAAATTAAGCTCATGTTATATATGAATTATATATGTTCATATTAATTAATTGTTAATTTATTAATCATAAATGGGTGGGTGATGTTCAGGGAAGGTCGGGGCAGGCAGGCAATTTTTCTAAATTCGCCAACAAAATTCATTATGTTATAATATTTAATTAAGTACTATATAATATAAAAGGTAAAATTCGTCTTCCGTACAACGGCCGATCGTATATATATTCATGCACTATGAGCATTAACTAAAGTATCGATCATTAAAAGAGAAGTTAGTGGCGCATTTGCCAATTGCGACAAATCAACGTTGAAAACGTCTGAAGTTTGCCTTTCGAATTTGCTCCTGAAGGTACTATGTCAATATCTTTTTAGTTTTTAATAAAAAAAATATTAAAAGTAACTCGATCATATAATCAATGCTATATATATATATAAGATTCTTTTATCAACAACACATTTTCTTTAAATTCAAGACTGAAGATGGCCAGAGGAAAAAAAGGGCTGAACATTAAAATCATATACTATGAGTGGCAATGTAAGAATAAGCACGAAAGTATTTAATAAGATCCAAAAATTTCACATTCATTTGTTTCGAGATAGTTTCGTATATAGTGCATCAATGATATAATGCAACTGGAATAGGTTAGGATTCGGGATAGATAAACGAAGAAGGGTTCACGGCTTCATTTAACTATTTAAGACATTTAATCCTGAGCTGTCAATTACTTTACTACCATGACTTGATTCATTGATCAGTAATGAATTTAAAGATATTTGAAATGAACGCTGATATGATTATATTGTGGCTATATATTACTTGTCCACTTATTCAATAATCCTATATTAATATGCAGCACTACATAAAAAGGTGCTTGCGTGACTAATGATGATCGATAAGCACAAAATTAACCTCTAAGGCTCTCACTTTCAGTGAGAAAAGAACTTATTTTCCTAGAACCATGAGAGCGTATCATCAAGGGGTGTCTTATCAAAAAAGAGACCAACATCGTCATTAAGAATGAAAGCTGGTTGTTAATTTCTGTACGCTGAAGTCGGTTTCTGCATATAAGAATGTTGCTGTGTGACAAATATTATTTTTTTAAAAAAAGCACTTGGGAGACAAACAAGGGCATGCGCCGATCGAGCTAACCCCGATCTGGCACTAGACACTAGTGTATATGTGGTGGCCACCCACCTCTCTTCTTTAATTTGTTGGCGCCTATTCGATTTCTAGCTATGTTGTTCTTTCTCAGTGGAAAGGCCCACAAAAAGTCTTACGATTTCTTCATTACTTCTAATTTTTTCCTACTTTCGGCCTTCTTTTATAAAATCGTTTGACATCAGACCCTACTGGAGTCTCTGAGAACTAAACAGGTCGCTCTCCTATTTGACATATATAAGCGAAGGTTCCGTGCAAGTACTTGAAAGTACTGCGTGTGGGTGTGGTTGAAAAATATGAAGTCAACGTTGTAATAATGCCGAAAGGCAATTCGATCACGGCCCTCTATTTATATCATTTATAATATTCACGAACACTACTTAGTGTGTGCCCTGCATAATGTCCAGGAAAGACTCATAAAGATTCTTTTATCTTTTTGGCTTTAATTAATGCTCGTAGCTTTTGGTTTGTATAAATAGCACTGTGCCTGAGTTATTTATAAATAACGCAGAAACCTTGTTTAATCAGTAAACAGGCTAATGGCTTAATCAAAAAAATTGTGCGTGCGTGTGTGTGTGTGTGAAGGAGAAAGTGGGTAGTTGGGTTATTGATAGCTTAATCAGCATGTCAATACTTAGCTTTGCGAGAGTTGGCGTTTAATCCACTCACTAATTCACTGTTTATGATTTAAACCAACTACGATCGATCCCTGATACACACACACACACACATGTTATTATCTCGCTTAACTGCTCGGACTAGGTGAATTTTTCTTGACAATTGTTTGGCAGGGATGACGAATTTACATGCGCATGGATATTTTCAACACTGCCATTATATTCATGGCCACACCTTTGGTATATGCTCATGTAATATTCTGCAGGCCATTAGGTGTTGGATTGTCTACCGTGTCTCAAAAATAAATCCAAAATATTTAGTATGATAGTCAAATATAACCCAAATAAGTGAGAAATGCAGCGTTGATTTATTTTTCTTTGAAATTTGTCGTATCATATATGCCACCTTTTTACACATCATTTCTCGAAAATTCAGTGTTGATTATTCATATATGATATACCTCCTCCCGTCTAAAATACAATCCATTTTTTCATTAATTTTGATACAAATAAAAATAATTCAATGTTTGTAGAATTTTTTATTTAATTTTATCAATTGTATTTATTAACCTGGATTCTTATATTCACCATGAATTTATGATCTTCTCCATTCATTATAAATTATGACTTAGCGTAAAAAAGAAAAATAATTTACATTTTTATGAAAAAATTATTAATATACAAATTATTATTAACAATTGCTTTTATTTTAGATTACAGGTGGTAGTAATTTAGAATCTACGCACAAGTTCTTGGGAACTTTCACAAATTAGTATTCCATAGCTTTGATCTTATTTAATAGGCCCCATTACATTACATCAGGATCCAATGCTTGTTGTCAAATGTCAATTACTTTGACTTGTCAAAAGTGGCGGGCAAACTTTTCCAACAATTCTTTTGTATCCTAAGTGCTGGTATTGATGGTCACTAGGGCTTGATATGAGGCATTTCAATTTGGAAACTCTAGAGATGGAGGAATTACCATATCTTCTACCAGATTTTATAAAGCCCCACAACCCACTTATTATTATAGCTTATGAATGGAGATCCTTCACATCTCCAGGAAATATAGATGATGACAGGCTGCAATAAAGATATCGGATGCAAACACCTTATGGTTGGTTGAAAATTAATGTACATGGAGCAATGTCTAATATTGATGGCCAACACTATAAAAAAAAAATAGCAAATTAACAACAGAATTCATCGATGGAGTACATTTTTATTGCTAATTCCATTGTTAAATTAGCTATAGAATTTTAATAAAGAATATTTCATAGTTAAAATTCTATCATTGTTCTGTCATTAATTTATTAGAAATACTTTACCGATGAAAAATTTCATCGCTAATTTTTAAGATATCTTATTTCAATTTAGTGACGGAATTTGTGATAAAAAATTCCATCACAAAGCTTTCTGTTATAATACCATCGCCAATTCAATTGGTAATTATTTTTAATTTAAGTTTATTATCTATAATATATATTTATATATAATTTATTATTATGCTATAAATAAATAATTTAAAATAATTTATTATTTTATATTATTAATAATAATTTAAATTGTATACTTAATTATTCTTATTTAAAAATAAAATAAAAAAACTTAAAATATTATATATTATATTGATACAAATTATAATATAATATGATATATAATGATAATAAAATATTTTTAAATTTATTATTAAATTTATTATCAAAAATGAGTTTTTAAAAATAAAATATAATAGAAATAATTATTATATATAAATTAATTTTGCCACATTAATAGATAAATATAATGTTAAAAAATAAGTAAATTTAAGTATTATATTTAATAATAATTTAAAAAATATATTTATTAATATATGTGTGTGTGGTTAAGTATTATATATTTCACTTATCAATTAAGACTGAAGATTCTTTTTAGCTTAATTGATAATAAGGTGGATGCAAAGGCAATAGGAAGTATGAGGTTGTGGGTTCGAGTTTGGCCAAGGCCTAATTGAAGGTAATAATATTTGGCATAATAATGACAAATAATATGACAATGAGGTGGCATTGGTCTATTGGATGACAAAACGGTGGTGAGGTGATATTGGTCCACCGGATGACGTGGCAATGATATTTTGGTCCACCTAAAAATTAGCGACGGAATAAGTTCATTGAAAAATTTATAATAAATTGGTGATGGAATGTATTCTGTCACAAAAATCAGAATATCTTATCATTATTTAGTGACATAAACTTTCTGTTAGTATTCTGTCGCAAATTCCATCATTAATCAATGACAAAATTGCAAATTCTGCCACTAACAAATTAATAACAGTGTTTTTACTAAAGAAAATATTCTATCTCCAATTCCATTACTAACTCATTTAGCGATGAAAAATTTCATCGCTAATTAACTATTTTTTTGTAGTGTGAGCAGGGTGTGGTGGTGTTATTCAAGACCACAACGACAAGTGGGCAGTGGGATTCACTCATTGTGTGCTAAGTTTTGCTCACTTCACTCTTGCT